TCCAACATTCTGACCATTTGAGAAAATATTAACACTCGGTGGCCCGTTTCACGTAAACGTATTAAAAGTTTGTCCAATAACACTAATTTACCGGAACCGCGAAGCAACAATTGCAAATGGTCTTCCTGAGAATTATTTGACTCGTATTCTGTCGGCTTCGTTAATAACGCATGATTACAGCACTTTTTTAATTCTATAACTATATTTAAAAAGGTGTTGGTCGAACCTTTCACACCTTTACGTAACGCGTTATAGTTTTTGGTAAGAATCCACTTATAGTATTGTTTTTGAAGCGTGGTCATTTCCACTCTTAGAATTTGTTCAACTTTTGCCGGTAACGATTTTTCAACGTCTTTTTTCACTCTACGTAAAATAAAAGGCTCAAGTTGTTTATGTAACTTTGAGTAACCTTTCGTCGACGCGTGTTCGTGATCCTTCTCGAAGTCCTCCCATGCTTGGAACCTACACAAAACAGAAAAAAATGCAAAAATGTTATGTGGTTTTCAAAACACTTACTTCTGAGGCATTATAAAATGAAGAAGTGCCCATAACTCCTTCAAACTATTTTGAAGTGGAGTTCCTGTGATCAAGAGTCGATGATTCGTATCAAATTCCATCAGCGCCTTGTAGAGCAACGAATCGTCATTTTTCAACCTGCAGAAAATTTGTTGTTAAAATTTCCATAATATTTTTTGTTTTTCGATTACCTATGTGCCTCATCAACCAACAACACAGCCCAATTTAAACTACCAAGGAATGCTTTGTCTTTGAGGACAATCTCGTAGGTTGTGAGGATCGCATTAAATTTCAGGCGTTTCGAACCTTCATAACTCCACTCGTATTGTCTAATCTGTACCGAAACAACAAAATTTAGAAATTTGAATTGATAATTCTTTTTTTTACCGTATCTCTTGACTGGACATCACCCAAATACGTGACGAAATTCAGTTCCGGGGCCCACTGCGCAAACTCCCGCTGCCATGATGTCATCGTTGATAAGGGCACAACACACAGGAACGGTCCGTGTAATTGGTAGGTGTTGAAGAGATAATACAGAAAGCATATCGTCTGAACAAAAAATAGTTGCCATTAAAATCTAAAAAATCATTGTTGTATTTACCTGTGATTGGTTATTACCTGGATTGTTTTACCCAGGCCCATTTCGTCAGCTAAAATAACCGAATTTTCTTTCGTCCAGGAGTGAATCAACCAGTTCAGACCGTCCATTTGGTAGTCTCGCAACACCAAATTCTTTGACAAAATCAATAATTAACAATCGGAATTTAAAAATTTTGTAAATGTACCTTCTCAATTCCCATCATATACTCCGGTTGAGTCTTCACCTCGTGAAACTTTGGTCGGTACTTGAGGACCTTGCAGTGTTTGGTTGGAGTTTGTTTTGACTGTTCCCGATCTTCAAATTCTTTAATTTTCTTCGGCCACTTCTTTTGAATCAAGACAGAATCCTCCCAGGTAGAATCGGCATAAGGCAAACTTTCCCACTTAATAAAATAATCAGTGCCACCGTCCGGTTTATTATATTTAGCGATAATTCTCTCAACGTTGTTGTAACTTTTTAGCAATTCTTGTGACAACTCCATTTGGCATTCGTAATATTCTATATCTTCCGGTGTGGCATATCTCATCCACTGCTGAATTTCTACCTCTTTCTTAATATAATTTTCCAACTTTTTCATTCCTTTCACTTTTTGTTCTTTTAATGAGTCTTCCGATTCCCAGGTGTTATGTATATGTGCCCAATCCTTCCACTTGATGAGATACTGTTGTTCGGTATTTTCCAAATCGTTCGGATCCACTCCTTCATTTGGATCGCCATTTTCTTCTACGCAATACATTGTTGTAATATTTCCAGTCACCCCTTTCTTCCCTTTTCTTTGTCCCAAAATCTTTTCAATTGTTTCACACTTTTCTTCAGGTACAGGCTCTGATGTTTCAGTATATTCAACTTCTAACAAGTCTTCTGAATCGGTTTTATCATCTTCACTTTCTTCCTTATAACTAACAGAAGCACCCGCGGTTCGTCTTGACACTGTTCTTCTTTTATCTTCATCACTATCAACACTAGAATCATCCGAACTATAGTTCGTTTTGGTTTTAGCTTTTTTCACAGTGGCACGTTTAGCTCCGACTCTTTTACTCGGAGGTGGAATTTCTTTTTCTTCTTCTGATTCAGAAGAACTATCGTCGTTATATTTCCATTCATCACTTTTCCTTTTCTTCTGTTCACTTTTGTTCTGTAATCGGTCTGGTTCTTTACGCGATCGCGAAGATCTTCGAATTCCATAAATGTCGGGATTTTCGTCCCACTATATTAATTCGAAACATTAATAACACGAAAGTTTAAGAATTTTTAATCGGATACCTCTTTCGATTCTGATTTCCTTTTGGATTTAGAGTCCGGTGAATTGTTTGACGTGTTCGAACTGCTGTGTGGACTTGCTTTTTGATCATTTCCGGAACCACCTTCTCCTCCTGAATCAGATCCACTCGAAGAAGACGAACCGGAATCGCTACACCATCAATTTTTTTTATCATTTAAATAGTAAACAAAACTGCAGATATCAGCCGCTTTTGGAAAATACCTTAGGAAATAAGTAAAACACAACATTTTACTGTTTATTTTTTATTAATACAAAAACTCCTCAAATTGACGCTCTTAAATTACTTTCATTATCTGTTAATATGTAAAATGCTTTTACGTCAATCTAGTGATAATTATTATCTTTTTATGACAATAATTGTGTACTAAATATATGTATTAATATACTTATTTAGTAAAAAATATTTATATGCAGATAAATGAAAAACCTGCGTTTTTATCTTCAAATTTTGCACTCTAAAAATTGTAGTTTTGTTAATCATAAAAAATGCAGGCTCAGAATCGATTTCTAACTGGTCTTTACTGAAGTGTTGTATTTGTTTTTAGAGTTTAATCGTTAATATTACAAGGTTAAGTCTATGACCACATGGCCAAGTCAACATTATCTAACATAAATGGAAACGAGTACGTTTAACTGGTCTAACTGTATCGACATTCATCATGCTGTTCTCCAGACAAGATTAAAGCAAATTTTAATTTTTCATTTACCAGCTATCTAAAGAGAAACTCTCCATTTTGTGATGCTCGTCCTTGAAATATATTTGCCTGATTTCGTGGAAGATGGTATACAGGACAAAAGAAATAAAAGCATTAAATTCGTCGTGACGTTTCGATACCTTTATTGTATCTCCTTCAGGCGAAGAATTTTCGTTGGCTGAACATGGGAGGAAATTTAATGGTTTTATTTCCTTTGTCCTGTATATCATCTTCCACGAAATCAGGCAAACTAAAGAGAAATGTTACTTTAATTTCGACATAACTGTATAGATATTAGTTGATATAATATACAACAGATAATAAAATTTAAAGAAGTACTTTCTTATACTTTAACAAACTACATATTACATTTGCTAGTTTTTCTGATTTGCTAATTGCGTAATAATTTTTTATGTACGTGTACTTTATTTTTCAAGAAATTACGTATATGGTAATTTATCAGAAAAGTATAGCGAACAAGTTTACTGTAAATATGTATATGAAGAATTTTCTTGTAATAAGACTATTAATAATGTACGAGCTGAATTGCACTTGAGATAAGTTCATTAATATTTAATTTGAAACTGTCTACCCCACAATATTCCATTTCCTGCTACATATATAGATCTGTTCCCCTAAATTCAAAAATTTTTTTTCAAGAAAATCAAAAGACATTAATATTTTAGTTACACGCTACTACTTTTTCTAATTTGTTACGTGTAATAATATTTATTTCATTTTGTTTAATTAACTCCTCCCGTTGTCATTCGATATACCTCGTTGTCATTTTTATTACACAACCAATGTTATTGATTAGAAGCTTGTCTCTACAGTCAGTTCAAGAAAAAGTTGCTCAAATCAAAATTCATCTTTGCAAATAATTTAAATAAATAACCTTGACATTAAGATTGTTTTTAATCGTAATATAACAAGCACGATATGTACACTTTTAGTTAAATTTCTAAAATCCTATCAATGTAAAGAAAAAATCTCAAAAGGCTAATATGTATTAGAATATCTTAGTTAATACTGAATTGTAATACTGTTAAAGAGACTTCTAATTAAAATTTAGGCAGTTGGTACTAATTGTCGTTTTGTGTCATTATTACAATAGTGATTCATCACAAAGAGTGCTTTATTACTGAGATTATTTCTTCTGTGTTAAAATTTAAAAAAAGAAATAGTTTGTCAAAGCAAATATTTAAGATTCAGTAGGTCTATACGAAATTATTACTTTTGTTTGTACCACTTCTTAGTTCTAGTACTATTGATTATCATATTATCAAACTACAGAGGTGCCATTATATCAATTATACCTCCATTAAAAATAATAATAATAAAATCTATAAAGCATATTTCTAATCAGAGTCAAAATGTTATGTATTTTTTCACTTACCTTTTGATGTTTTCATCTTCATACTCTTACTTTCGTAAAAAAAGCTATTTGCTTTTTATTCAAAAAAATTCCAACCACAAATTTTAAAATTAATAAACAAATTGCATTTTGATTACTTTTAATTAGTAATTTTAATTGGCTGATATCTGCAGGTATGACAAAATTTATGAAAAAAATTAATTCATAAATGGATCCGAATGATCAATGATCAAAATCTTACCTTTCTGATCCAGAGTTATTTGATGATGAATCACTTTTGCTTTCGTTGTCAGATCCAGATCCAGAATTTTCTGAATCTGATACTTCCCCGGTCTAGAAAAAAACACAAAAATTGCCTTTATTTTTAATGAAAATCAAATTAAGTCCCCCCCAAAAACTATTAAATCCTGATGTGACATTTAAGAAAAAATAAGGGCTCCATAATAAACACATTAAAACAATAAAATTGTTTATTTTTTTATATAACACAATAAATACAAAGTAGGTACGTAATAATAAAAATAAACATTTAAAAAATTTCATAATTTAATGTTCTTTAAATGTACAATCATATTCAAAAACAATTTTATATAAGACCTAATTATTACAAGGGCAAGTATCATCAATTTTAAGGTTAAATTTGAATCAACTAATTAAAAAAAAAATCTTTTGCGCTAAAGGTAGGTAAATTCCTTTTCGACATTTTGAATTTTATGTCTCTATTTTGTCAAAGAAGATTTAGAAGAAACCAAATATAAGAATTTTTTCGTTATGGGTCCCGAGGGGTAAAATTTGAACGCCATGACTTTAATTTGGTACTAATTTTTTAAATAAAAGTACGTCTAGATTCTCATAACCGCTCTCAGTAGTACGAATATTAAAACTGAATAAAACGGTAACGTTTTGTAAAGGTTATATTCATCAGTCCGATCAACCCCATGGCAAAAGTGGTGTTAAAAATTGAAATACAAAGTTATTATGAATCAAAAAGCTTAAATTACATATTAAGGCATTTATAAGAAAAGCGGGGTTATTAAAAGAATTGAAAAAGACCCAGAAACGTAGGTTAACATGTCTGAATGCAGTAAGGGACGTTGCAACAATATAAATCCATAACTTTATCTTAAAATTACTCAAAAGGGTCCATCTCAAAAATTGAAAATTTTTGGCTTGGCAGGTCCTTTGGAGTATGGAGAATACAAATATATAAAGAAAAGTGTGGAACACGGTCGACTAGGGTCCCAAATTGAGCAAAAACCACTTGTAAACAAAAATATGTAAGAGAAAAGTGTGTAAAATCTTCTAAGTAATCAGACCACGCCCTTGAGTTCACATTGACGCAGTATTTAAAAAACACGATGTAGTTAACGAAAACGTAATTTTGATCGAACAACAACCCCTAGATTAATATTTAAAGAGATATTCTTACCTCTGGCATCTTGTACCACGTTTATCCTGAATTTCTCGTAATTACTATGAACAAGCACAACAAAAATTTTTGCAAATTAAACGGCAAGTGTCCTTTAATGTTTTCATAACGTTCAATCTCCGCAAAATTAACCCTTTCACCAAAAATTTGGTGATTTAATAATAAAGTTCATGCAACACCACTGATTGACGCCATTTTGTACAACTACGCCGACGAGTTTTAAATGAAAATCACGTTTAATTAAGCTCACAAAACTAGTTAGTCTCTTTTAACTTGTTTATAAAACACACTTTTTAGGTTATATATCACAATTCGCCACTAGATAGGGTTAAGTTAGTTATTATTGATGCCACCATAATTGTATGCGAATGGTGCTCGCAGCCATTTTGACTTTCTATCTGAATCGACAGCGTAGCTAAAAGCGCAAGACGGGGGGCAGGGGAGCCAACCGTGCAAACCGAGGGAATCTCAGCGGGACGCAGAGAGCGCGGGGTAGTATGACATTTCTCTGACGTCACGAGCGTCAACTTTATTCGCTATTACCATAAGGTAAGTTTCGCGTAACATAGAGTCTATTGCATGAGAATTATTTTCCTACGGCCGTTGTCCAATCAAATCTTGTGAAAACGCGGTATCCGTTTCCGGGACTAGGTGCACAAAATCCAAAATTCGTACTAACAAAATTTTACCAACTTTAACATAAGAAAAACCCTATATTCGAACGTTCCAGACTGAAATAAGGTTGAAATTTGTCAAGATTTTATCGAAAATATCGAATTCTAACCTAAAAATCGACACGTAGCACCTGTATTAATTGCACAAAAACCTAATCAATTCAGGAATGTAACAAAGACTTTTGGTTTGTCTCAAGAGCGCCAAATTCAAACGGTTTCTGTGCGATTTAAGGTCACTTGTAGACTATTTCGCAAATTGTGTCTCTATTCTAAAGCGAATTAACAAACATTTTAGTGCATAGTCATGTCTACACGAACGATTTTGGGTACCCGAAAATTTCCAAAAATCGAAAACTGTAAACACGACAATGCTGCAGTCTTGCATTCAAAAGCAGTAAAAAATCAGAATTTTGCATCAAAAATAATGCAACACAGCATAAATAATAGTGCCTATAAATATAAAAACTTCCAAAAGATATATTAATCATTGAAAATCTTCTAAAGCGTTCAAGACATTTTCAAATTCAAGTACGTTTCTGTAGCTAGAGAGCATTGGAAGGGTCTTTTTAGTCATAGATTAACAATTTTATTCTTTACTGGTCCACAATTAATAAAAAAATAGTTTTGTTTTCAAAAAGTTAAAAACATTCTTCAGTTTCTGTTAAAATATCCCAAGTTAGAAAAACTTGAAAGTGATAATCGTCATTGGTTGTTGTAAAAACTTACTAAGAATTAATTAAAAAGGCACAAAATAAGTCAACACAATCAATGCAATAGCAAAAGGCAGAAAATGTCTTTCGAGTGAAATAGGTACTTGGTTGGTGTAAAAATTAATTACCAAGTTTAGATACAAAACACGTAATTGCATTGTTATTAAAAAAAATTGCGGATGACCAGGTCAGGTCAGGTCAACTTCAGAGAGAACAACATTTTATGAACCAGCAGTTTTTAAACCAAACAAGTTTCTACTTTAAAGGTAACTTAATCCATAACATTATCATGTGTTTTTGGGTTGTCAATATTACAACTTAATTTTACATTAGTGATAAAATGGTGTCATGTTTTCAAGTCTTTTACAGATGTATGTAATTTTGAAAAAAGTTTAAATTTTTGTTGTTATTTAAGTTTAGATTTTGTTTAGGTCCATTGTGGTATTTCATACTTTAAGAAGATATAAAAGAAGAAATTGAAAATTCAGTTGGCTCCAAACCGACAAAATTGTTTTATTAGTCCTTTGTCATAAAAAAATAAAATAATTTTTGTCTTAGTTTACTAGTTACTCTCAACAGACAACTATATCGACTTTTTAAATTTAATACCTATAAAATTTTAATCCACTCTTCATGTTCTCCAAACCTGGGATCTATCACATATTGTTGCAATCTTGTATGCACAATTAAAACTATCTAAATCACATCATGTTTGATTAAGAATGAGGCTTTAACTGTTATTATTACACGTTATAAATGCGTAAAAAATTAATACTTCGTTTAAAGTTCATTGAATACTATTGACATGATTATGCTGTGCCATATGGAAAACATAACCGTTTGCCCGGAATAAAGAAAGGGAAATCTCACTAAACAAGTTTAGCAAAAACCATTTCGAATTTTTACTATATGGCATGAAAATCTTTGTACTATAATTTGCTAAACTTGCATTTAAACAATACTAAAACATAGAAACTAGTGCAAGCCAAGTTAATATTCACCAACTAAAAACTATGATATTCTTGGTACTGGGTTGCGAAGAACTAGAACACTTTCAGCTGAGATAATTGGTAGAACATTCTCGCAGTGGAAATTGATAAGATGGCTGACACTATTGAACATCCGATCCCTCGTTCGTATCTATAAAACAAAACAATCAACTAAAACTCAAAAAAAATCAAAGTCGTACTGACCACTCCTTCAGGATCTATCAACAAGAGATGTTTCTTCGTGTCATCTTGAATCCCCGAAAGTACAAACTGCCCTTCCGAATTTGGTGACTCTCGCACAAGAAAATCCCCATCTTTCTGGAGAAGTCTTTCAGCATCTGCTCGACTGATCTGTCCATGGAACCAAATTTCGTGCTGAAGTTCCGCTAAGTGTTCTTCAATACTCCTAACCGGTGGTTGGTGATGCGTTGTAAACGGTTCTAAACGGGCAAAAGTTAAAAACTGTACCAACAGAAATTGTAACCAACTTACGCATATCAAAAACGTCCCTTTCTTTAATCGTAATACTATCATTAACATAATCGTGATGTGGCGTATCGAAAACGGAAATGTCGGAATTAAGGTCTATTAAATTAGGACTTTGGACTGATGGTAAGGTTGTAAATGGTGGCACAACAGAAGGAAGCGGAGGGACAGGTGGAGGACCAACATCGGGAGGTACTTTGCCTGGAAGATCGTTGTAGTAGTCTTTATCGGCGTCGCCACCTGTGGACGTCGACGGCTGACCCATTGCAAGGCTACAATACCACAATCAAACATCGCGACATATAAAAACGGAAAAGTGGTCGCACAAATACCAACTCCTTATCTAAATAAATGTTTAAAACCGAACGATTTATGCATTTCTCCTGCTTGTTAACAAAAAAAAAAGAAATCGTCGATGGTCTAGTTGTAAACAAAATAAAAACACGATATATCTACAATTCGAATGGTAGGTAAGTTACAAAATTAACCATCTTCAAATATTTCACCTCTATGATGACGCAATTTTTTACCTCACTCATGCAGTAAAACATAAGAAAAAAAACACTCAAACGTAATTTCTAATTCTCAAAACACTTTTAACTTTTATATTTAAAAGCAACAATCAAACATAAACAAAAACCAAAATCAGCACATAAACACCACATGCTGAATAATTTGTTATTTAATAAACAAGTGTATTAATCGCAGTATTTTTCGTTGATCGTACATTTATAAATTAAAAAAAGTTCAATTTCATAAATTATTATTTTTATATGTCAAATTGACAAATGTTAAATTTTCTAAAATGTATATTTGGTTGTCTGATCTGAAACCAATTAATATACGAATTTTATCAAGTATTCACGAATATCTTGCATGTTTGATTTGCCTATACTAAGATCGTTCATTAATAGGAATCACTACTATATGATTTCATATTCGTTGTTAATAATGCCCACTAATATTTAAACACTCAACGGAAAAAAAAGACCATTATACTCTTAGAAATTTTGTCTTTATAAAAGAGATCGTGTCAGACATAAAAGCGTTAAAAATTTTGAGAAACTGATACTTTTTACTTAAAAATAGTTAATATTGTAAACAACATAATTGTAACAAAAAGTAGGTTGCGTTTTAGAAAACAGTGATAACAACTGTCAAAAAAAGTATTCAAATACCAAATTTTTATAATATCTGAAATGACATTTTAAACTTTTCGGCTTTCAAATGTTTTTACTTATAATTCGCTTTTTATGTACATACAATGTATACAAATTTCCTAATATTAAACAGAACACAACATGATAAATATAAAACAAAATAATAATTTTATTCCAAGACAAAAAATAAAATACGTTGTGTACAGAATTGTATATTACTATTTTGTTTTAAAATAATAGACAAAACTTTACAGTTATATAAAGATTAGTTACTCCTTTATTAATAGATACAGGAGTAGTAACATACCCTGTAAGGCGATAATCATCAAAATTTTACAGGGTGTTAGATGATGACATACACAATATAAAAGTCTTAAATTGAACCTAAACTACAATTATGTTTTTTTTTTGAAACGACAACAACAGAGATCTGTACGATGTGCACAGCTAGTTAATGGAAAGTTGTATTTTTTTCTCAGTCACGGTTCAAGTTACAAAAAGGTTTATTAAAACTTTTATGGTTTGTACGCCATAATCTAACACCCTGTAAAATTTTGTCTACTGTAGAGTGTGAAATGTTGACATAAAAAATCTTTCTGGTATTTACGTTATTGCTAAATATTTAATTATTAGGTCCTAACATAAATACATACTAATGTATTTTAATTTTATAAAAATTTAAGCACCGATGGATGATTTAAGAGTTTTAATATCGTTTACATGCGAAAAACTTGAAACATTACGTTTTTATAACAATTTTAAAATTTTAAAATCTAGAGACATTTAAGTCTGTTATTAGGTCACCTCAAGTAGCAAAGGAGCAAACAATTCAAAAAAAAAAACACAACAAACTAACTATTATGACAGCGAATTATGAGACATGTTTTAAATAAAAAAACTACCGAGTATTGTTTCCTATTATATAATCTGAAGCAACAATAAATAACAGTTATTATAATTTGTGTAGTAAACGTGTAAAAACAGGGTTTTGACATTAAATTAAAGTCGCCATTTTGTACAACATTACGTCCTTGAAACAAACGTAATATTCGTGTGTATTGATTTTTGTTCAATATTAAAAATAAGGTAAATATGTGTACTGCTTGATAATAAAAACGGTGGTATTAATGCGACCACAATAGTGTTACAAAGTGAGTTACCCAATTTGTGCTGGTTTCATGTATTGTTTAAACCTGAGCTCGAAAGCTTGTCCTATAGTTGCTATAACATCTTTGGCTAAACCACCCCCACATTCTAATACATAGCAGGCTCTAAAGTCGTTCATGTCTTTTGCAATGTAACCAACAAAGTCCATAGTATCCTACAATCTAGCTGGTTACATAATATAACAAATGAAGATTTTTCCGACTTACAATATCGCCCCCTGAAGCAAAGGAAATGTGGGGCATGTCATGACAAGCAATAACTTTATTGTCATCAAGTGAAGTTAAAGATAGATTCGAACTTGACACATTTAGACTAACGTTAGCCCCTGCATGCGTCATATTAGGAACTTCAGCAATGGCTTTTAAGACTTTCTTGTCGATTTTTCGTTTCTTATCGGCCGTTTTTAACCCGGCGGCCTCACAGACTTTATTTATACATTCTCTATAAGCGAAATTGCGTAATTATGAGGGGCTGAGGGGCCGAGAGTACTTACTTGGCAACAGTCGACCGGGTCTTGAAATTGAGGATTTTCATGGAGACTTTCACTTCCAGACATCCAACATACTGGAAAAAAAGAAAAAATTTATATAGGGTGTGACTGCTACATGGAGGAACGACAAAATCAATATTGCGGCTCTACATCGGTTGCAAATTGGATTTTTGACACTTACCCTAACTGCATAAGTCGCTCCTTGCTTCGAAATTAGTTTGTCGGAGTGAATCCACCCATCGAGAGGCTTACTAATAAACGTCGACATTTTCGTTGCGAATTCTTGCGATAAGATGGGTGTGAACCTGCCTGACTAGTTCTTTTCCACTGCTGTTACTCGCTCAAGCGATGAAAATCGACGATATTTCACAAGAAAACTTGCCAATTCACCCAATATGACGTCTACGTCGAAAAGCATCGATTTCCACGGCCAACTACGCAGTACGCACAAATTCCTCACATTCAGCTCGAACTTACGAAACTAGTTTCACAATTTTTTTCTTCATTATTTCGATGCAAACAAAAGAATTTTCGCATTTCTAGACGCTTTCTGGCGCGAATTGCAACATAAATTTATAAATAATTAAACTTCGAGGAGGACATCGCTACGCTCTCAGGTTCACATTGCACACTCCCCTCATTTTGCTTTTGTTTTCTAACCGTTTACGTCATGAACATGGCTCACTTCAATGATATTAATAATATTTAGTAGCGCTGGACTGAAAACTGCGCAACTCGAACCGAAACTACACGAACAAGCCCGATCTGGTTAACAGGAGTCCCCAAAATGGGAGTTTTGTGACGATTAAAAAAATATCCGGCAAAACAATTAAAAAGGTGGTAAAATTTTACACACCGACTGAGAGTGCTCAAATGAAAGCTTGTTTATCCTTTATCTGTGAACTGTGTAAATTCCTTCCAATATTAAAAAGTACGAAAAATGCACTAACAAATTTGACAGTTTTTTAAATGTAGATATGTCTGTCACAACATGGCGGCACGCATAAAGCGCAAGTGTATTTATGTTGTACAACATACTATCATACTTGTATCATAGGATAACTTTGGAAGTTTTGATCTAACTTTGAAAGTTTAAGATATTTTTCTTTGTATCTTTGGGTTATCTATAGTTTCATATGTTAGCTATAAACTTATTTAATTTGATAAGAAAATTATGTGCGTCACCTATTTTGAGATATAAATAAAAATCTAAGCTAAGTGCAATGCATAGAATTAGCCACAAATGCAGGATAATAAGGCTAATGGAAAATACTGTACTTAGTATAGAAAAGGAGATTAAAAAGCATTTTTAAAAACAAAATTTAATTTATATTTAAAAGTACCATAATGATAATTTAAATATTATTAAATTAATATAATAGTAATCAATTCTTTGTTTTACAACATATTTCACAATTAAAAAAATAAAAACAATTAAAAAAAAAATCAATGCAAAAAAATGCTGTGAGGTAAATTTGCTTACTTGACTACGCAGTAGGTAAATTATTGAAAAAATCTAAAGTTAAAAAGTGTATCCAGCAACTTCATGGAAGCCGAAATAGATAGAATAGAGAACAAAATTTGTAAAGACATAAGATTTAATGATGTAACATACTTTTTGCAGTTATTATCACCTATTTTCTACGATGTAAACATTGCAACGTAAAAACTGTAGAAAGCTTTTATAGGCTGTAGTGAGTCTTTGAAAGTGCAGACACTACTATAATGTGTAAAACTAAATGGCAGCATAAATAATGTTCTTTAAAAAGAAAAAGAAATAAGCTACAGAAGGGTCCGCACGATTACCCGCCACTGCGCACAATAACCCCACTTTCCCTTAATTGTCGTTATTATATCAACTTATCAGTGATCAACAGATAAATAAGCTAGGTACTATTTAAACGTAATGCGACCAAGTGTAATTAAAAAAAAAAAATAGCAGTGTGGAAATTAATATAGATATATTAAAAACAATGCCTAAAATAAAAAAAAATATATAAACCCCATTTAAGAAAATAAAGTTTAGCTTATAAAAAACCACAAATAATTATCTCTCAGGTCACTATCATACATTTTATTTTTAAAAGAATTTTTTTGTTTTAATAAATCTTGTAAAATATATACAGGGTACGCCAGAACTCGCACCCCAGAAAAAATGCCATATAAGGTAAGATACCAGGAACATGAGAAAAATTTTATTATAAAAATTTCGAAGTTATGAGAGTTTAAATTTTGCACTTTGACTTTATTTATTTCTGTTGGAAAAATAATTTTCGAAGTTTTTTTGCTACATGATAGTATAGATTTCAAAGTCTACACTTTTAGTTCCGTTTTCTCAGTAGTCCACATTTTGTTGATATATGAAAATACCCTTCCAGCCCAGCGCAACAGTTTTTGTGTTTTGAAAATTTTGCAACTGAATGAAAAGCATGAAAAATAGAACAAAATCTAAAAAATCTGGAAATTTTTTCAAAAAGGTCTTTAAAACAGTAATTTTGGGCTATGTTCATATTGTTTAAAGTAACTGTGGGTGCAGTGTGATGTGCACTAAGTATACTTACGTATAGAAGTATAGTTATGGATGTATACCTAATATCTATACTTCTTCTAAGAGTCAATTATTGTAAATTCATTAAACTCTGATTGAAGCATCAGTAATTGGTTTACCATTGGCAATATTCTGAAAATCAATCATTCGTGATAGAACTGGAGTTGTAATTATAGCGACAAAGTAAATTAGGCATCCTACAGTTCTGTAGACAATCTAAATCTCAATTGACATGCCTTATGCCATATATGCCAAACCAATATTTTAGTGATATTTTAACAACTTTTTATTTTTGACCTTTACCAAAGTTTCTGTTTTGAAAACTTTATTAAACTCTTATATATTAAATTTTTCAAGCCTGGAAAAAAATACAACCCTCTTTTTCATGATGATCGCGTGTGGAGTTAATAGAATGATTTTTGAACGTTTTTTCACCAATGTAAGTAATTAAAATAGTTTAAATATTTGTGTAATTTACATATAGTTTAGTTTTTATACTCGAGCTGACCACTTTCTGCTAAAAATTATCCTGCGTTGTGTGGTGCTTTTTGAATTTTAATTAAGCTACTATGTCCTAATTAAATGTGAACAAAACCCCAACAATAGGTGTGCAGCTAGAGATAATTAAATGAAACATTTGTTTTTCTTTCTTTGATGACGCAAACATCTGCATGAATTGCTTGTATCTTCAATGTCACGGTTTAGGAGAATGTATTTTGTTTGAAATGTCTGCAAAACAAACACAAAGGCCACTGACAAAGACTGTCAAAAAATGAACATATAAAGGAGAGTTAAATACTGCTGCAGTGGCAGCAAAAATGTTTTAAATTATTAGTAAATTTAGACTGATATACCTCGCAGAGGCATTTATTTTTATGACTGCAGTGTTAGCCTGTATATGGGTTGTGTAAATGTAATTTCTCTTTCAAAGCAAACTAATAGAATCATGTCAATAAATGCCAGATCCAGGCGGAATAACAAATAAAATTGTTAAATTGACAGAATAATCGGTTGCTAATCATCATTGATGTGAAATAATAATACGAGAACGTAACGGCCATTAACGTTATTGACAGACATGTTTGTAATTAACGAATTAACAAATCAATAAAAGATTTAAAAAGCTACAAATGTATGAGCATGAATATGTGAAAGAATAATTCAGAAAGTGAAAAGGACGGTAATTTAGGATTAAAAGTGGAAGGATATACAGAAAGCGATTTTAAATAATAAAAATGAAACAGAGCCATTTGATGCGAAACGTTGACAGAAAAACTGTGTTTAATATTCAGCCTGTCATTATTTTTATCATAAATTCGAATAAAGTTTTTATTCTGCAAGTTTCATTTTTCTCCCAGAGTTTCCGTAAATGTCTAGTATTTTTATCGAATCAAGAAAATTCTAGTTCAGAGCCAAGTCTTTTTGTTAGTGAAACTTTTCACCAAAGAAAAAATCAGACAAATTCCTTCATCTTTTTACTAATTGGCTGCAGTAGTTGCAATATTATTTTTACAGATGAAATTACTTTACATTATTTAATAAAAAATTTCATGACAACAATGTGTATTATTATTTACGGATCCCATGAAGTTTCAGCTATACATATTAAATGAAGCGAAGAAGAATCAATAACATCAACATCGTGCAAAAACGGTGTATAAACAATGGGGTTAAATTTTCAGCTCTATGAACAGACGTCTTTTTGGGTTGTTACTAATAACGACAAAAAGTTTGCTTGGCTCTTGCAGCCATTAATGTAATCCATTAACTCTAACCCTGAATTATAAGCCCGTTAAGCACAACGATACTACTTGAACAATCAAAATCGGCCCCGTGAATCTTGTCCTTTTTTTAAATAAATTACTTTCGCGAAATAATTCCGGAGGTAAATAGAATTTGCGTCAAATTTTCCACAAGAATAGAAGTTGCACACTAAAGAAATACTGTCATACAAGCACGCACATTGTCTCGTTAAAAATTTATTTCTTTACACGTCACTTGAGGCAAGGCTTTAGAGGACTATACAGTGTCCCAACGGTGTGACGATGGAATTTTGTGGCTGCCATTAGAGTCATCAAAAATTTAATAAAAGAATATTGTCACTTCTTTTAGAATTATTTTTATTTCGGAGTTATTCCCCATTCAAGGAAGAGAAAATGGTGTTTGAATTTCTGCTTTGTGTCGAACATGTTTACAATTAATATTTTCTAATATTTAGTACATTTTCAAGATTATTATAATTTTTTAATTTGATCCAACAACGTTCTATGAACTTTTCCAGGTTCCCCTAGGAGTGCAAAGAACGTCACTTGATTCAATTCCTCCGTTTCAGCCAATACCAAAAAACCTGTTTTTTTTAGTAGGAGATCGAAGTGGATCGGTGCTTTTGTTCATTGGATGTTGTAACGAGCCACTCTGTAAACCATTTGCAAATTTTTCATTGAATGAAATTTGAGATGTTAAGGAATTAAATATTTTACCGTTTTATTCATCAAAATTTTTAATTAATAAACTTGCACGGTTTAGTTATACATAATTCGCTGCTTGAATTTTTTTACGATTTTAAAACTTGAATGGTTTAGTGTTGAAGGGAAAAAATAAAAAACAGGTATGAAATATTGAAGTGTTCGTAGCCAATTATCCGTTGTTCGATGGGAGGATTTAATGCTTAATTTAGGAAAATTACAATAAGTCAGTGAAGTTAAAATTGAATCAGCAAGAAAATTAATGAGAAATTTAAGTGTCATTGAAATGGTTGAATTGATTTGTTCATCTTTATAGGATTTGAGGAGTAATAAGAATTATAAACAAGAGAATTTTTTATTAAATAAATAATAAACTTATTAATGAAATAAATAAGTATGAGTGATGATTAGGGATTCTGATCAATTTGTGAAGTTTGGGAGTACGTGATGTCTCCTACGAAGATGTCGAAGTTTCAATGCTAGTATTTGTGGCAGGAGTGACAGCTTCAGTATTAGTCTCATTGGTTTCGGGTTTTCCGAAAGTTAGACCTAGTAGATTCCCGAAGAAAACAAGACCTTGTTCTGCCGACTCATTTACAGCGGCTATTAGTTCCTCTTCATTTAGTCCTTCCGATTCGTTCCTGAAATAAGTCACCGCTTGTACAGAACGCGTTATTGATTCCATTCTCCACAACTACTTATTTTGAACAAACTTACGAAAAGTTTAATCAAGGCTTTATATTGCTATTTACGTTCATTTTCTGTTATGTATATGTCAAAGGTTTAACTTACTGCGTCCCATTGTTGCTTCCTTTTTCGGGCTGGAGAAGTGTCGTAAGCGTGGAATTAACACTTTCTTCCAGTTTCATGCCTTCGGGTCCCATCGTAAAACATCCAATATTAAAACTCGTTGTAACATCGCCTAGAAATTTCGGCTCTAATAGTAAACAACCTCGCAGTCCATCATTGTATGGCTGTAAGTCAGAAAAACGGGCACACACTTGCGCTAAATTAGCCAACAGGGCCATACAAGTCGGCTCTGGATTAGGGCCTTTCACTTGCTCACTGTGAAGAAGACTTTCCCCATAGGATACGTTAACAGCAATCCCTTCGTCCTGCGAAATGTATTTCATTCGAACACAACCTAAACATAAAAAATTCAACAATTCCTACAGAATTAACAAAACACTCAAAACTTAATTTGCTATTGAAACTTTTAACGTAGAAATTTTAATTTTAGCCTTCCAGACGTACTTCTAATTATATTACCACCAGTCTTTGCAACTTCACATAAGAACATAAAATAGGTTAAAAATTAATTACAAAAAGCTCAAGTTTAGTTCGAATTTAATAAAATTTGTGTCATTAAGTCATCAGATACTAGAAAAATTAACATAAGATTAAAAAAACTTACAAAGTCAGATTAAAAGTAAGCCAGCTTTTGAATATGTAAAAATAAAATCAATCTTCTGAACGTGTCCCTGCGATGTGAATTGTAAACCACATCTCCCTTTAAAATTTGAAATATAATTAGAGTTCAACTTTTAGAGAGAACTCTCTTAAACTCAAACCATTTTTATTAAAATTATCCAACTTTAGTTAAACCAAACATAGAGCGTTTTGTAATAATTTACAAAGTTTAAAGGAACAAACACAAGTCAAAAGTTACTCCTTATTATAATGGCTGACTTTTGTAATTGCATTAAAAAATATACATAGCAAAATTAAAATGAGGGTAACAGAAAATTACAAATCGTAATTAACAAAATGTTTCTAGGATCAAGTTTCAAAAATTATATTTTTCTACAATCATGAAAAAACTTAAACTTTTCATATTGAAATTAATATGCGAAATTAGTCATTTGTTATTAGGTGCCCAGTCAAAAATCGATCAAAATCTTGTCAAAAATCGAAAAACTCAAATACTTTAAAATTGCTTCAAATGCACTCATAGGTTGGCAAAAGACCCAAAAAAGCGGTAAAACGTTGAGATACGCAGAAACAAATTTTTGAAAAAATTTGTGTATCTATGAATATATTGGATTAGAGCTGAGAAACTGTTGGCGGCGTGGTGGTGTAACGACATAAAATCTAGCTAGGTAATTCCGAGATTTAAAATTCATTAAAGTTAGCAATTTTCAAATTGAAATAAAAGTCAAAAGATGGCGGGCGCATAAGAGCGCAAAATTTTAACATGTGCACATGTTCAAATAAGTATAATAAGAGAAAGAGAAAGCGCATAAATGCATCAAAGCAAATAAGAGAGAGACAGAGCGCATTAACGCATAAGAGCATATGAAAGAGAAAGAGTATAAGAGCATGAAAAAGCAAAAGAGCTTTTTATCGTTATTATCGTTACCCCAAACTTTGTAATTTTTATAAAAAACAATCAAATACTAAAAATTCAAATAAGTGTCGCCTAAGTGCTTTAAAACATATGCAATGTTCTAATAAGTATAATTTTAACTGAATTTTTCTATTCAACAATTCCCAGGAAAAAATAATTGCAATCACATTTTACTAAGGTAATAATAATAGTCACTTACAGATAATCAAGAAAGTAATAATTACTTAGTGATTTTTTATGATAAACACAAAATACAATTGTTTGTAATTATGCAACTCACAATGCTCAGGTTGTTCCTATCTTTCAAGCAAATCTCAAATAAAACCTTTCTTTGTTTTTATAAAAATGTTTTTGTGCTCATACCTGTGATTTTTATTATCACTAGTTAATTAATTAATTAAATGGAAAACAGAATGTGAAACATATACCTATCCTGTTTTATCCTCGTTTCATACCTGCAAGTAGCTCTTAGTTGTGTTAATTTGTAAAATTAAAGTTTTTCACTTTAAATAAAAATTCAATATATGGAAGTGAGTTTCCGTGGGAATTTCTGTTTTTGATATATTGATGACAATTTAATGACCATACCTGGCCCTCCCAAGTCGATGTAGGTCAGATTGAAATCGACGCAGCACATACAAGACGGTCCATCACATTTACAAGTTCTTAGGGCTGTCGAATCTGAATTGTCATCTCTCTGTTCTAAGTCACTTCCTTCATGTCCCCAGTTCCAAAACTCTGGAAAAATTTTGCAAAGCTGAACTTTAATTACACAATAAAACAAAATTTGAAAACAAGAACTTCAAACCTCCGTTATCCAAAAAAAGAAAATTCAGTTTTGTGCAAAATGATAGTTTTGCGCGAAACTCTTTGAAAGGAACAAACAAAGGGTGTCTCTTTCTTTGTACAGCTGTCGTTCTTAACAAAGGATCAAATAAATCAGTGAGATCAACTGAGTGAGAATAATCGAACGAATAATATACAAATTTTGTTTTTAATAAATTATAAATTAATATTCCTGTAACATTTACCTCGGTGTTCAAATTACAACGTAATTAAATAAACTGTTCCTATTGTATCTATTTAAATGTCATTATGAAAGCTTTGTTGATATTACTGGTCGCATGAAAACTAAATAAAGGGACAAATAAATGAGAATCAATTTGACCCTGTCTGTTCTTCGAATATCGCATGTACGATTTATCTATCTAACAAATGTTTGTAACAAATGGTAAAATAAAGAAAGAGTTTTGCGTTGCATCCGGTAATTGACAAAATCAACAAAATTATTAACGAGATTTTGACAAATGCTGTTACTACTAATTGTAACAAAACACTTTTTAAAAAATTCAAACAGGCGTGATTGCTGGCAGTGAATTGGGAAATGAAATCAATTTAGTTGATTAACTATATTGTCACCTTTCACGGGTAACAAAATGAAAATTTTATTTTACTAATTTGTAAGTAATATGATGAAGTGAATCTTGATCTCTTGAAAAACGTCAGAAAATTAATTTTAAACTTAATATGTAACAAGTTTTTTAATTTTAAAATATGGAAAACTTTAATTGGAAAAACTGGTAATCCCTTAAAGCATATTAATAATGTAATAACCTGTTCGAAAAGCTTTTACTGTACTTTCTTCGAGATAAAAGGCCTTGACACATAATTTTTTAGTGAACGATTTCACTTCATCATCATGGTATAATAGCATCTTCTCTTAATTAGTTCATGCTCGAGATTTGAACAATCCATCTCACTTTGATTGATTGAAACTCGTGTACAAATGACAAGAATGATACAAAGCAATCTAATAAGAGAATATATCGATTAATGGTCTTAAATTACTTGTTTCAAGCGAGGGAAATTGCCTGACTGATTTAGATATAGTGTTTATTTGAAGAGACCTTACAACAAAATTTACTGAATCAGAAATTATTTTATTTCTTTTATTTTCATATCTCAAACGAAATAACAAAGTTTCTGTAAGTGTGAACGTCTTTTCCAGAATGCAAAAATAACATTTTGGTAACAAATTATCATATCGTACAATTAGTTCCCGTTTGTTTCCTTTTAGATCTGCTTTGTTATATTAATTAGTACCGGTTTCAATTTCAAGAGTAAAATTTGTTGACTCATATAATAATTAACTTAAAGGCAATGCCACTATGAATCAAATACAAAAAAATCAAATTCTGTTTAACTTACTTTAAATGTGATTCGTTTTAATCTAAGACTGGCTACATACCTAAATCTGAGCGCTTTTCTTAAAAGTACAAGATTGACACGGAGAAAAATCAAGAGTATTATAAGCGTTTGACGAGCTTTTCATGATGTGAAAAAGTTATGTTCTATGAACTCACCTAAGATGTTGGTGGAAGACACGTAAGTGAATGCAACAAGAAGTACAACAAATCGTGATATCACGCAATGCATGGTGCAACGGTTTGAGTTGGTCAGTGCCAACAGTGGCTTAGCTGAGAAACGGTAACCAGACTTTAGTATGCTAGACACGAGGATCTTCGATGGTCTTCGGTCCTTGGCCGTGATGGAGGGCACTAGGTCACCCAGTTCTTCACCTTATTGTCGGTGGCACTGGCCTTTCACAGATTGTGGCACACCTGATTCATACTCTTTATGAAAACGAAACCATGTTTTGTGAAAATTATTAGTTGTGCTGGAAAATGACCTTCCGGCAACACTGAAAGTTCCCTCGGCAAGCATATGCTTGAACAAAGATGCGAAACTCGAGAACTAGAAAACGGCGACAAGCTGCTTACAGTTCTTTCAATTCCTCGACCAATTTTTTATTTGTGACGACATTTTTGTGTTAATTAAGGCAGTTACAAGATTGACTCCAATTATATAATTTTTGCAGAAAGTGGCGATCTTTCACAAGAAATTAAATTATGCTGAAACACTTAAAAAGTTTTCTTCGAATTTAAGCCAAAATACTCAACTCTGCGCTTTTTCATATTATTAAAATGCAAAACAAACTCAAATGTTTTAAGAGATCAAACTAGTGACGCAAAAGTATTAAATGAGTGTAAGTTAATCAAAAAATGGGTGGGCATAATGAATGTATTAGAAGTGACCTACTTAATGCTTTTGTTGCTTTATTTATAATCTAAATTTTTTCTTGAGGACATTACGGATATCCGTTTTTAAATAAAAATGAAATGTAATAATTATTAAAATGAAATTGAATGTTGAAAAAATGCTTTCTATGGTTTACACTGATGTGTACCGGATGAACGTATTGACCTAACTTAGTTGACCGACATTTGGACCCCTCCATGTCTTCCGAAGAGCCGTGAAATAAATTTTATACAGACTTAGAACAACGTTCAAGAAGTGTGGATCAGTATCAGTGAAGTAATTGTAGAGTATAGTGTATTAATTAGGTGAGTGCTTTTGTTTAATAAATCAAATTTTCTAACACAAGTGTTGAACATTTAGCACTTAATTACGAAGAGAGGTATAAACGGACATATTATTATTAAGACCTTTATATCTCAAAACACGAAATGAGATAGCGATTTTGTTTACAAATAGTTGTTTTGGAACAGTTAATTGATTGCAAAAAGCGAATTGGTCGTTTTAAGTTCTTGTGTGGCTATTAAAACTGGGAATTTAGTGTCCTAAAAAGAATTCTTGGCGAGCTTCCGGCTGCAAAATTATTAAGGAAGACAACGATCCATATCAACGAGTACCGTACACTACCGCATTTTGTTTAAACGTTTTGCTGCTTGAAAAAATTAATTAATCGTGTAAAGCCATACGTACCGACAAATGAAAATTCCTGCTCGGATAATCTAATTCAACAATAAATGCTTTTGACATCTTGATTTAGTGTAGTAATTAAAAAAGTATGTGCTTGAAATAAATAGCGTTCACAATAGATTGCATAAATTGGGGAAACTAAGTTTGCGTGATTTCTTTCTGATTTATACTGACAGATGGTGGAGGGTTTTCATGCTGTTAAATGCCCAACTGCATAATACAACTAAACAATTTTTGCTTGCAGGAACAACATGAAATTGTCTTTCATCTTTGAGTTACTGCTGATTTTTATTCTCATTGCGTTCGCCGCTTCAGCCGTTATAGGTAACAATATTATTTTATTTACTTAATACTTACTCTAATAAATAAACCTATAGAGACACTAATAAGAATCTAAATGTAATAATTTAAAATAACGAGAAAACTTTAATGATAATAATTAAATGTTAATAAATTCACGAAAAACCTTAGTGAATGACCATCACTTGAAAATTGAAAACATTAAATTAAATTTTTTCTGGCTTCTGTGAATCAATTTAATTAATAATTTATTACGGTTAATTAAAGCTTTGCTAATTTTCTCAAAAAATAATTAATTACTTATTGGCTGTCAAATCATTGTAATGTTGATGTGTGAAAGCTGTTTCCGGTTGCACAATACGAATAAAACATTTGATAAAAATCTCGCGCCTTTGACGCCCTCAACAATAAAATTTCTAGTTCAAATGTTCCAAACCAGCGACCTGATTGTGACTGTTTCTAGATTCCAAGGCCTTGCACAATACTAAAAGAGCTATAACACGAAAACATGGAAAAATTACTCATAAGAAACGTCAAGATTCCACCTCAAATAAATACTGCAGTTGTTCGACAAAAATCTGCAATTGCTGCAGAGAGTTTAATATACCGGTGGTTTCTTTACAAGGACCTGGATGCGCCTCTCTTCAGTACCTGAAAGGAGATCGTCTTGCAATTTCGATGAGTTTCGGTGAAAGAGTACTTACAAACACTACTATTTCAAGTAAGTGAGTTTTATTTGACTCCTAGCGAAGCAACTTCGTTCAATAACACGACATTTATATTTTTATTACGCTAAATCATCCATTTTTAGATTTCCAATATTGGTTTTAACCTTGTATTTTGCACACAACCGCATTAGGAAACATTAAAATATTAAATTTATCATTATGTTAAAAATAATTTTACCCAAACAATAATGCAATAATTACTTTATATTTGCTTATTTGCGGTAACTAATGAAAATGTTTAATTCATACAAAACAATTGGTATATTGTTTTCATGTTTGTATTCGATTTAGTAAAACATAATTCCATTTTTTGTTTGTTTTACAGTTTCATTTTTCCTATAGGCTAGGACAAACTAGTCAATCAATATCAAATTATATGTTATTTTATTTGTAGAACCAGATAATTATTAATTTTAATGCTCCTATAAAATTAAATAATTTGATTCGAAAAACAAAATATCTACGTTTATTTCTATTTTGTTGATATTTTTAGGTAAAAAGCCTCGACCCGTATGTATGCCTCTTCCTGGCGGAGTTTCAAAATTCTGTGGTCGGGTTTACAACATTGGTCGCAAAGGTGAAGACTTTAAAGCTTGCCTTGGACTCGAACTCCGGGCTTTAAATGACGTCGAAGCAGCTTTACGTGTTTCCTGTTTCCGTTTCGGTCCCAATGGACTTCGCGTCGAACCATCTCAACCTCTTCCCGTCGTAGAAGAAGAAGATAATGACGAAGATGATGACGACGATGATGATGATGATGATGACGACGAAGACGATTATGATTTTGACGACGATGACGATAATGAAATCGATTCGGTTGATTATGGCACGTTTAGTGTTTTCGATGACGATTTTATCGGAGAGTATTTCCAGTCTGAATCGTCAGGAAGTAAGAAAAAAAAAGTGCAAACAACTAAAGCCCCCGTACGTAAAGTGACTCGTAAACCAATCATAACTCCGGCGAAAACCAACAGGAAGCCTATTCGCACGGTGAGGCCTAAGCCAGTTAGTGTCAGGCCTCCGGTAAAAAGTTCGACAAGTTCGACCCCGGCGAAATTGCAAGTAACGCAAGTTTCTCCAATGATGAATGAAGTTACGAGTAATCCGTTTGATATGCAGACCTCTGGCGAGAAAGTTCCCTCATCATCGCACGAATCAATTGCTGCCGTGACTGCTATGCTGCAGGGTCCCGCAGGAGAAGCGATGTCTCAAGCGGCTGCTGAAGTTCCTGCCAGTCCTGCTTCCATAGATACACCCGCGCCAACCGCTACGCAAACTACTCAACAAATGCCGGATATGTCTACAAATGTCTTAACTGAACAGCCAGGATCGATGCCTCAAGGGACTGGATTGAAGGATATTACTGAAGAATCCATTAATCAGAACTTGGAAACGACGACCCTCGAAAACACAGACTCAACTACTACACTTCCAGACAACACAACTAAAGCAATTAATAAAAAGAATAAAAACGAGGAATCGGATGAAGACGATGATGACGACCCGATATCGGAAGTTGTAGGGGAAGTCATTGAAGAGGAAGTTGACAGTGCGGAAACAACCACGAAAGAAGCGATTCAAAACGACAAAGACATTGCGAAACCACTCACCAACAAACATGAGTCTAAAGATGTTGTAGATGATATTGTTGACGGAATGGTTGACACATTCGCTGAAGATGATTCAGAATCGGAAGAAACGTCAACAAATAAAACCAACGCAGAAGTATCCAATGACGATGATGATGATGATGCGGAGGAGGAAGATGATGAAGACGAAGACGAAGATGACTACGAAGACGATGATGACGATGAAGAGGAAGATGAAGAAGAAGCCAGAAAAGCTCGCAGACAAAAAATTAAAAAGATTAGAGGGCGACAAAGTCGTGATATGTGGTTAGCCAGGCTGCATTGGTAATTTTATCAACTCTTCATTTCAGTATTTATTTATTTATTGTTATTTATTTCTACTGTACATATGTAATTAATGCCACTAACTCAATATGCTCAATTTTGTAATACCTGTATTAATAAATATTTATATAATGAGTCGTTTTATTTTTGACCTAATTTTTCCATTTATCAAAAAAATTAATTTATGTACAGTGACATTCACAACATTGAATTCAGACATAAATAAAACAAAAAAATAAAAGCACGTTAAAACAAAATTTATTCCCAATAGACATTCAATGAGTTACATATAATGTCAGTCTTTTGTTGTTGTTTCAAATTTTCAAATACATAACACAAAAAATACATTTGTATGAATAAACAATAAATTCAAGATAAAAAAGACATCCCAAGTGGAATGTAATGTGTGAGCAAATAGGTGTATTGCCTACAGTCGTATTAAATAGTATAAGTTGGAGAGAGGTTTTACCTGTTAACATGAAAACTCTCCTGTGATTCACAATTAGAGACATTTGGTTTTACCGTGATGATGAAAGAAAGAATTTAGAGAAATATTTTCTGTCATAGATAACCGTACTTTCGCTCCACGTATTTTTTAGTAATCGATTAATAAATAAAACTGTATATTGTTTAGAAGAAGAGTTTAGAAAGTGGTACATATGTTTATGCCGGTTCGTTCAGTATCTCAGAAACTGTTCAGTAAACGGTATATTAAACCGTAGTTTGTGAGAACAAACTGGGAAAATGAAATCGTTTGTTCTATTGTGTTTAATTCTGTTAATATGTGGTAAACTATCAGAAGCTGGCAAGGGTAAACTGGTTATTAATTTCTTGTCAGGTCGTTAACAATATGTCACTCAGGTAATAAGAAAGTGTCGACTTCAAAAAACACCACCAGTGTATCGACTAGTAGTCAAGTGACGACCACAACAAGCCGGCCACTATTACCAGGACTAAGATTACCTTGTTCGTGTGTTGAAGGACAATGTGGATGTTGTACGGGTGTCTTATTAGACCAATTTAATCAAAAGGCTTGTCTGAACGTGTCATACGAGCCTGATGACTTTTCTCTCACAGCTATGATGTCTATGAACGGACGTGTGCTTTATAAGAGAACTGTTTCCGGTAATTTATGATTCTGTTTAATCTTTCATTAAGTCGGTTAGTAGTTCATAATTTCTTGCATGTCTTTAACTCACTGTACTTTTTACGTCTGACCTAGACACGCAATTAAGCAACGAGAGACTGCCATCATTACAATCAAACGAAACTTAATTAAAAAACAATTTTATTTGCTAAACTAAGATCAGAGTTGTAATTTTTCACTATAAAGTACCGAAAGTTTAAATCGACTTTTTAAACGATTTAGCGACTATCTCGATGGTAAGTTTTTCAAACTAAGAGTTATGACCCATAATGCTAACCATTTCCTTGAAAAGGGTTTTCCAAATTAAATAGATATTGTTATTTTAGGATTGATTAACGTTTTTGTGAAACATTTAATAATATGTAATGAGAAAAAAAATTGCATTAAAATTTTCAATATTGTATTTTTCGGTAGCTTTGATTACGGTGATATAATTTCGTTAAAACTTCACCTCGGTTTACACAAACTTGGATATTTTACATTTGAAATATTTAGATACGCATGGATGTTAAGCTGGCACATTTTCATAAAATTGCTTATGCAAATACTCTTCGAAAGATATTTCGTGAGGTAATAAATTTCTGTTTGTTGGTTTTTAACTTCGAGACAACGATGGAAATGTATTCTATTCACGGAGTTGTTTATCAGTCATTTTCTTTTGTGGATACTTCCCAAATTAAGCCGACTTTCTTTGATGAAATCAGTTGTTTCTAAGTTATAACAAAAATTATAATTAAAAAAATTAGATGCTTGCGTTTTAAGCAAAAAATAATAGGTAAGCATTTTTGAATATAATTAAGCTGTTTTATTATTCATCACTACAGATTAAAAAGTCGGCTAAGTTTTAAAATTCCTAAGCACTTTAGATAATACTTTTATTCATTTTGTGCTTAAAACTTTACACACATTTTAAGATACAGTATCTCATCTCCCAGACGTGAAAAACTTATGAATATTAAAATCGATTTACAGCCAGCTTTAAGCTGCGTAGACGTAAAAGTATTTTATCAGAATGTATTTACTTTTAATAAAAAATATTTTTAATTTGGCAAAATATTTAAATTTTGATTAAAATTTCGGGTTGGAAACATTGAACTGACAGCTTAATTAAATTTTGCTAGGGTTAAATACTTTTTCTTAAGGTACTTTTGGCTTTTGCATAATCTGACATTTCATAGAAACAATGGCGGTCAAATCGACTTGATTTAATAATTTTTTCAGTTTTTACACAATAAAACATTTCTAGCGTGCTGTTAATTAATCGGGTAACTGTTATAAACAATTTTTCGAAGAGTAAATAAATACAATCTAATTACTTTTATGATTTATGTGAAACACTCCATTTTCGCATTTCTATTTGAAAATAAAACGTAATATTTCTGTATGATGGATTAACCTACAGGTAAAAACCCTCCTCCGATGTGCATTCGACTTCCCCGTTTCCAGTTCATCCGATTCTGCGTCGAGTTTTCAAATATCTATTTCGCAAGTCGTAATATTCACTTGTGTATTGATATGGAGGCAAACTGGGAAGATCTAACTTTAGTTGAATGGTCATTTGACTGTATTCGGATGGGGGCTTCAGGAGTGGCAGTTGTTGGACCGGAGGAGGGAGGAGGGCTTCCTGCAAACCCCGTGGATGTCGTCGATCAAACCAACGAAGATTACGACGACAGCGCTAGGAACGTGCCCCCAAACCACCGAAACGACATAAGAAACCTCACACACTGCAACACACTCGTTCTTGATGAAAGTCTAAAACGTGCAGGACCCAACGCCAATAAGCAACTAATTAAAATAAAGAACTTGCCCAATGGAAATGTTGTAGTGGCTTACGGCTGACTCAAAGACATAAATATATTTAATATGTTTTGTAAATTAAGTCCGTGTAAGTTTAAGTTGCGTGTGGCTGGGGTGTTACGCAACGGTTGCACTTGTGGGACAAATCTCTAGGAATGCAGTCGTTGCGTATCTTATTGGCCTGAATTCACACGAGATAATTTTTTGGTCAAGCGGTCGTTTGAAAATTATATTGATTTAGTTTCCGACTCGGTTTCCGAGTTTGTTGCAATAAACACAGTTGACGTAGTTGTGACGTGGTCTGTGTTCGTAATGTAACTTAGCGAGTCTATTGAGGCGTATAGTTTTCCAACACTTAATTACATTAAATGCTAGTTTGATATGTGAACCACGATAAATGCTTTCTACACGTACTTGGTGGGTAGCCAAGCAAATGTGGTTTATACCCTAAATTCTCCATGTGTGAGATTTCTTTGTAGTATGACATCAACAGTAGTGGAAGACGTCTTGCTGCAATTGACATATCATCGTTTCGGAAACTACCGTTAATGCTAATACGATACAGTGTATCGATCTCGCGTTCAACCATTGTCGACAAATTCATTTTTAATATGAATGGGGCTATTTATGCCTGTCTCGTTGTGGTATTGTGGGCCATCATGAATGGACTTGCCATTCAAGGTAGGACATTTTAATTATTTAAGATATTCATCGATAATCGAAAAATAGTTCGACTAATGAGCACCGTTAGATTAATTAATACCACTCGCTTTTTACTCATAACAAGTTAAATTAATTAGTAGTGATGCGTTTTGTGTAATTAAAAATAAATTATTTGTATAAGTAATTGTTTCATTTTTTTCCATTTAAAATTCCTCGGACACGTAGTAAAAACTTCCTGTGAACGTGTAAATGTGTGTAATGACCTTTGGCGGTGTCATCAAAAATTTAAACATTTATTAATAAAATTTATTATTATTTATAGTCAATTTCCGTTGTCATCATTTGCGAAGAGATCCGCGTACATTTTCACTTTATCAAAATGAAAAGTAAGAGCTTCTAAAAATTTAATTTTGTCCATAAACGTGTTGTGTTCCGAGTTAGTCGTGTATTACTTAGGAAAAGTTCGTTTGCATGGATAAAATAAATTTCTATCATCTGGATCTCGAAAATCCTATTTTGTTAAAAGTTCGTACATATACTTGAAACACCATTACGTGCAATATTTATTTTTAAAACAGTCCCAACGGTAGATAGAGAAATAGCATTTAAATGATTCTCTTCCAAGAGCAAAGAACAAAGCAGCTGCATCTGAATATTTTAAATTTAAATTGTTTTTTCGGATTTAGAAAAAAATTACTAAACTTTTGCTTTTATTGATTTGTCCCCTACACAAGTATTGTGAAATATGTGATATATGTATCTATATACTACATGTGTTGTTATCTTTTGAAAATCCTGCGACCCTGTGAACTCTCACCTGCTTGTAATTTCTCATTCAGAAAACTACATACACTAGTGCCTTAGTATAAATAACTATAAGTATTAAATTTGTCACATTTGGATACTTGTCATATATTTACGAAACTGAACAAAGAAGACACAATAAATTTGTTTTTTCTTAGTTTTTGGACTGACAATTGATTTCATCCCAAATCGTAAATCTGGTGAAATACTGCTTGAAAATGTTCCAAGATACTTTTTAACTATTTATTGATTTAAAGTGTGAAGCATTGACACTGCAAGTAACGCCGCTTCTTGATTTTTATTGGAATCAGTTTAACCGTTTTTTTTTAAGTGTAGTCGGTTGTTTTATTTTTGAGGGTTTTGGTTAAGAGACTGACGTGTTGGCACATTAATACGTTATGTTGCAGAGAGTAATGTAGAATCGATGATGGTGTACTACGATCCCAAAACTCGCATTCCTTTTCGAATGACGTCTATTGAGAACAGCTTGACGAACACGTCAAGTGCGAATGACCAATCATCTACGAAGTCGAGGGGCGTTCTCCGTAGAATTGGTTTTAGGAGTAATGGATGCACTTGTCAGGAGCTAACATGTGGCTGTTGCCTCGGTTTAAAATTAGATCAGTTCAATTTCAACCGAGAGGGTAATTGCTGAAATGGTCGTAAATGTAATTTTTGCATTTATTTTCTAGGCTGTATGAATTTTACTTACGATCCTTTGGAGTTTGCGATTAATATGAACATGTTTATGGATGGAAATTCAATTTACGCCAACTCGGTTTCGGGTAGGTTGATATTTTAGTTTGGGGGGAATGTAATTAGTGTTTTACAGCGAGAAATCCACCACCTCTGTGTATCCCAGTACCGCTTCCCTACATCCCCATATCGATAGAAGGATGTGCGAAATTATTTGATGTTTACACGCCAGGCCAAAATTTACACATGTGTTTTGATTTTGAAACGCGCGTTCAAAAAGCTACTGTTCTGGTATTACATTTCGACTGCATGAGGATGGGAAATGATGGACTTGCGCTGGTTAAACCTGGCGATATGGAAATACTCCCATCTGCCACCACAGAGAATCAGATAGACTCGGATGTTTATGACGAGGTCACGGAAATTAAATACAGTAAACCAAAACCTTAGAATTGTACTTCAAAGCTCGTTCAAGAAAATAGACGATTTATCTCACATCACTCTTCATTATTTATTGATTTAGTTTAAAGTTGTAACGTGAGGTGAATTGCAATCGTTTTATTGATGATTTATTACTCAAATAAAAACTTATAAAACCTAAATCTTCTTTATTCTCACACACATATCGTGATTACGAAAGTAAAACCATTAGACTTAACCACTAAGCTCTGGAGTGCGTGAGTTAGTTTTCACATTTCACACTGTTATTAATTTGACACTGCTTGTATTTATAAATGTCGTCTGAAACTGACAGAATAATCAATATTTTTTAATATTTCCTTCCCATCGTTTGGTAAATCACACAAGACCGCAAGCCTATAAATAAATTAAACACTGCTAAAATTTTTGTTAACAAAATCACTTTCAAAGACTACAATTAGCCGGAATTAACATCATTTAATAATTATTAGCATTAAGTTGAGCAGACAAAAAGAATAATAAATTAGGTGGTTAAACAAGAGTACAACTTGAGGTAGTTCTCTACAGATGGCCCTGTTTACATATTTGATGTTTTAATGGCTAGTTTAGCAGTTTGACACACATTAAATCAAATAATGGCGTCTATTAGCGCGAAACAATAATTTATAATAATACTGTTACCCAACAAATAAATAAGCAATGTCATTAATAGAACAAATACACTGGTATAACTTAGTTTAGCATGTTTATCTTTGTAAGTTTAAAATTTAACATGCTAGCCCATTGCCCGTTGCCTTTCTCTGTTATTCTCCAAAACAACATAAGCTTTACAACATCCACGTTTACGAGCGAAAAATTTTACACACCGGTGTTATGTACTGTTTATGGCACATATTTATTTACGGAAATTAAAGTAACAGCAAATCGTTGATAAAACAAAACTAGAAGTAAAAACAATGGCCAATGATTTCATTTTTCAAACCCCTCACCGCTTTGCGTCCAAATCCTCTTTGTTGAAATATTTAATGATCTTTTCATCTTACGGACTTTTTTCGCCCAGATATTGTAAACAGCGTGTCAATATTGACACTTTTTAGCTGCAGCATTAATTTATTGCTTCAGAAAAATTGACCAAATCCATTGTCACCAAAAAGTGACAGATCGTGTTTCCGGGAATTAAAAAGTCGAAAGTAAAACAAAGCAGTATGATTTCTAAATGATTCAAAGTGTTTGAAGTTCGTGTAATTTTTTTGTTTCGCGTTGAATTCTCTATCTGGGTAAAATTTGTCGCAAAAGTTGTAAGTGGTGTCGTCGCGAGTTAAGTTGTTGGGTATCAATGGTATGATAATTGCGGCGAAACACGGATGAGCATGAAGATCCGCGAAAAGTTGTGCGCGAGTGTAAGCTCCGGAAATGGGCCGAGAGTCGGCCCAAGTTGGTGGAGTTGTGGCATCCTCTCAAGTAATAGACTGGGCGGTCGCAGCTACACATAAATCCCCGTGTCTTCCCCAAGGTGCAGTAGAAAGTCGCGCAATTCACCACCGAAGATGACGCGCTTGAGACATGTGTTATCTAAGGCCCCACACACCAAAATATGAATGCAGATTACTCGTCCTCGACTTTACGATTTGATAGATTTTTACGCCGAGCTGAATACACTTTACGATCAATTATCCATTGCATACCTGTGTTTGTTAGTGATTCTCTTTATGCTGAACGGTGCGGTTAGTGTGGTTAGCTAAATAAACCGGCAGAACCTCGAATATTCCACATTTAACTACAATTCAAAAGATGAATTGGAATTATTACTAAACTTAATTGCGCCTATTTCATTAAATCGCACTTTTTTGGAGAAACAAAGCACACAATGTCACACGTAATTGTTTTTCTAAATGCGTTATTAAGCTTTATAACTAATTCATCTCGTGTCATAAACTCTCTCTGAAAAGAAACTTTATAGCTCGACCCTCATTACAGCAAGCCGAGATTCAGGCAAACAAAATTTCACTTTATGTAAACTGCAAATACTCGTTCATGTCAACTATCGTTTAATTTAATAAAAAATGGAATTATGAATGTCGGGGAGCCAATTGATGAGTTTTATATTCGCGTGGGTTGCGACTGTAAGAAGCCGAGATCTAAAAGCTCTGAGTTTGTGTATCTTGGTAATATTTCTAATGAAGTTCTGTTTAGTATTCCGTTCACGTTTTTGTCTGAATAATGTCAATTAAATCGACTCATCTATATTCAATTAATAGAGGTTTTTGCTCATTTGTTGCGTAAGCCAAAAGGGTTGATTGAAATCGTGCAAATCTAAACTTTAAGACAGATCATCCCGTCAAGCCAAAACTCGTGTTATATGGCTGGGTTTCCGGCAAACTGCAGCATTCTGAAATGATTTATTTGTGTATTTGATTTTCTAGATCAGCACATGCAACTTTTATGTTTAGTAACGTAGT